TGAATCAGAAGAATATTTTACTCTATTCCTTAATATTACCTTGTTCCTTAGAAATTATTTCTTTTTATATAATATTAATCTATATAATATTATTCGTAATTTCTATAAATCTTTCAAGTTATTGAAATGGAAAATATTTTTAGGCAAAAAATAAATTTTACAGCTGTTCAAAGAATGAGATTATATTGCCAGCGAAAAAGTAAAAACATACCATCAGTCAATGAATTTTAATTACATGAAGTTCTTAAAACACAATTGCATGATGAGTGAAGTTGCGAAAACAATATTTGTTTAGGCGTTGTTTAACATAATCCACTCACTAACGAACATTATAGAATTTATTAATCAGCAATTACTTCATTTCTCTAATGAAGGTTCAAGTCCTAAATGTTAAGTACAATGACAAACCACGATTTCGTAATTGAGGTATGACTTTAATTACATTTTGTTTTCAAATATTATAAATATTTGAATGCTACTACAAATATATAATTTATAATTTATTATTATATAAATAAGTATAATGGTTGACATTAATAAATGTGTGCATTTCGAGTGTTACCATATTCCTAATAAACATTATTCAAAATTGTTATATGATGTATTTAATTTAACTTAAATGGCATCTTGTACAGTAGAGTTTATTGAGTAAGTTTTACCTCAATCGCGTGTGAACCTTACGCGCGCTCTTTTTTTGTACAGCAAAGGAAATGCATCTAGGCATCTCAGACTAGGTCTTTTGTAAGGGTATGTCAATATCGCCGGGGTATAATACCTACTTTATGATTCAAAAAACTTTTGCTTGTAGTGATATTGTGCACTTGATTAGTTCACACTGTTTACACAGATTATTTTTCGTAGTTTCTACTTCGTAAAATTATTGCAATTCTTAATAGACAGCAATAAGAATTTGACAGAAAATATAATTTCAAGTAAAAATTATACCAATTTGTTCCATTATTCTGTACTTCATATACTCTACTGTCTACCAAGAAGTATCTACTTACTTCTACATATATGTTTATGATTATTACATACATTCTTATTGCTTTTCGATACATTTTAAAATTACATGTCATTTTTTTCTCTACAAAATGTATGATTTATGAATATCAAATATGATAATTCAATTGATTAATGATATGATTTTTTTTTTGTTTAAAACTCATTACTAACTATCAATGAAGAACGTGTTCAGATAAAAAATTATCAACATTAGGCGGATAGTAAAATAATAACTATAATAAATACAGTTATTTATGCAAATTTAAATTTGCAATTCGAAATTATTCAGAAAACAATGTGTAATAATGTAGAAAAAATAGAGTACATTGGGTTACTTATTACTAAAAAACTTGTAAAAAACAAAAATATAAACCAATAGTTTAATATAGAAACATAATTTATAAATCCATAACTAAAATATAAATAAACTAATTAAATAAAAACTATAGGAAGTCAATGTATAAATAACCTATGAATAAATAACTGAATAAATATATAGTATAAAAATCAATAACTTATCAATAATTCATTAATAAATAATTAAAATATAAGTAAATAAATATGGAAAAAATGTCAAGCAATATTACTTATTTTGAAATAGTTTTTAATATACTTAAGATCATTAAAATAGATGATACAAAATAATTATTTTCTGCAACAAACGTGTGTTTCTATTGATTTAAACTTCTCTTTCATGATATAGATAATAAATTAATTAATTGTTATTCCAGATAATTTATAAACAATATGACATATAACCATCAATGTGCAGATTTTTCTGGGTCAATGTGAAAAAATGTGGATTAATCCTTGACTGCAATCTACTAGCATAAATATAATTCAAAACAATAAAGAAAATTGTGAAAAAATCTAATAAAAAATATTTGAAATAAAAAAATAATTCAAATGTATTTTGATAACTTAAGGTAGTCAGTTATAAAAATCACTAAAAAATTTAAAATGAAGAATTTTGCATATTTTATGATTCAAGACCTCCTAAATATTTTGGCATGTCTTATATAAAATGTATGTATTTGTGTGGGTATATTGTGGGTTACAATTTTTCGTCTACGATTCCGGGATTTAAATAACATTCTATTCGTATTGACGGGGAGACGTACTGATTAGTTTTTGTCAAAGGCAGTTTCAGCCGTTTTGGAGATAGAGTTAGAAAACGAATGTTTATAAAATTATTAAGAATGTTTTAGTCATTCTATATGTATTAATAATCACAATAAATATTTTAATCAGAAATTTTAGTTCTATTTCACCCAGATTTCATCTAAAAAAAACTATTACACATTGTAGGGAAATTTCAAGTTCAATTAACTTGTTGACGTATTGCTGTACGTAAAAGTTAAAAAAATACGCAAAAATGTATTCAAATACATTAACTTTTACATTTATTTTGTTGCAATAAGATTTATGGTTTAAGCAAATTTTATATATTTCTTAATATTCACATTTATTTTTGAAAATGGTTCAAAAACAAACACAAGATGAAGAAATAGCTTTGCAAATTTTGAATCTTCAAAAACGTTCAGTTTTTTCGAGAAAAACTGATATAATACCTGTCTTGCTTTCTGCGATATCCAGTAAGTACGTTGAACTCATTTTTAAAATTTTTATTCTTAGTTTACTTAATCTAAAAACGTTTTTTAGTACGAATGTGAAATATTCATTGTTTTATTTATACGCATACGGAATAATGTTGAAATAATTGTCGCACGCGTGATTAGAATATTCAAAGATTTAATTTATGTGACAAGGTAGAAATTTATGGTGAAATAAGTAATTTATGTATACGGAAATGTAAAATTCGATAGAAATTCGCTGAATTGAGAAAAATTGAATTTTTTCTGCAAAATTTATGTTCAATTGATCAATAGTATTATAAACTTTTCCTGCTCTATATTGCACAATAATTCAAACAATTTTTGTTGGCATTCGTTAGAGTCCATGTGTCTGATCCGTATAGTATTATTAAAAAAGGCTTAAAATAGTTTCTTCTGGAATCCAAAGGCCAATTGTCGGATAAAATAGAAATGTTATGGTAATGCTATGTTACGGGTCTATCTTCGTATGAGTTGGTAGTAGCAAACTCTAAAAAAGCTATTCTATCATTCTAGACCATAGGTTCCCAAACTTGTTTGTGTCACAAGATTCGGCTATCATCTCATCATTTGGTAAAAGTTTCTTCACACTAAATATTTGACAAAAATTTATAGTTGGATCATTCAATAGTTTTTTAGATATGCGATGTTGATCGGTGGCTGCCTCGCTCTCAATACTAGTATTGAAACAGATTGTACGTTTTCAAAAATGCAT